TGGGAGGGGAAGGGGAAAGGAAAGAAGGGAAAGGAAAAATTATGAGAAAAGAAAAAAATGGAAATGAAGTCTATGTAAATAGGGAAGCGTGGAGGGGGTGAAGGGTGCACAGGTAATGGGGAAAAAATAAGAACCAAGATACATCATGTACAGGTACAAACACCCAATGATAAATGTAAACATGTTGTATACCTAAAATGTACCAATAAAAGAACTTCAGATAACAAAAAAGAAGAAGAACACCCCAGTTCAGTGATTAACAGTTGGCAAACTCATTTAATTATGTGTCAGGTACCACTACTGATGTCTACCTCTGTAGCCGGCGTGTGTGTGTGTGTATTGCTGGGGATAGAACCCAGGATCCTGAGCATGCTAGATGAATGCTGTAGCACTGAACTACATCCCCAGCCCCTGTACCCGTTTAATTCCTCTTTATCACTATGAGTCCATCTATGTTCAGAGGCCCTCTCATACGGCTGACTTGCGAATGTGAGGGAGAACGGGGTGGAAATCCGAACTGTGTGTGAGGCATCCTGGGCACTTTGCACCAGTGTTTTAGATACATCTCTCTTGTTGGCTTCCTAATCCACTTGAATAATAAAATACTATTTTGCATTTTTCTAAGCCCCTGTTTTGCTCTCCAAAGTTGTTTTATCCAAGAATATTTTAATTACTAGATTATCTGTTACAGTGACTGGTAGACAGTCAGATAGCTCAAAGTCTTACGATCTCAAGAAAAATCTAATAAGCATCACTAATTAAGCAAAAAAGAAAAAAATCCACAACTATTACCATCATCTGCATATATTTTAACCTAATGTTTTTGTACTTCATATTATGAAATAAGTGCTCCTCAAATATTTAATCATTTAAATGTTACTGTTAAAACTACTTTGGTATTCCCTGTTGAAATTCCTAAAAAAGCCAAATAGTCCTTGAAGTAAACATCTTATCTATCACTGGAGGACTCCAAAAATATTTTTGTCTTTATCTATATTACACAGAAACTGGGCACTGAATAAATAAATAACATTTTTTGTGGCATATTTAATGTCAGCAAGAGAACTGCCCTCTTTCAGACATGCTGGCCCTGGGACATGAGTAACTTAGTGACCCTATAAAACTGTCCCCTATATTTCCGCAAATTTAATGACTAGCCACAATGGAAGAAGCCATATTATCTATGGTTCAAAACTACAGTTTCTACTTGGCACAGCTCCTATGGTTTAGAAGCGGTTTGTGTATTCTATACCTAGAAATAGGTGAAATCAAAGTTATGTTAAAACTCATAACCTTACAAAGGTGTAAAGGGGACTATTAATAGCTAACACTATTAGCACAATGTGCCACATTCCATCCTGAGTGCTTCATATACATGAATTCACTTGGACTGTAAAACTACACAACAAGGCAGATATTTTAGTGTTTATTTTTCAGAACAAGCAACTGAGCCATAGACAAGGTTCTAGTAACTTCCCTGGTGTCCTACTGTTAGGAAGTGGTAGTGTCAGGATTTGAACCCAGGCAGTCTGGCTCCTGTTCCTATATGCTAATTCAGTGTCCCCATTTGGCTCTGAAAAAAATTCACCATTCATACTGAATGCAGTAGCCTGTAATCCCAGCTACTCAAGAGACTAGGGCATGAGGACTGCAAGTTCAAGGCCAGCCTGGACAACTTGGCAAGAACTTGTTTGAAAATGAAAAATCGAATCAAGGGCTGAGAATATAAAGATGTAGCTGAGTATTCCCTGGATTCAATCCCCAGTACTGGAAAAAAAAAATCACCATTCACAGTTCTTTTGTGTAGAAAGTAAGTGCTAATTCATAAGAAACATCCTATTATCTGGTCTATGAAAATCAGAAGTAGATAGCTCAGTAGGGTAAAAAAATAGTATCAGAAAAATGCATGTCACTTGAAGAATTTGATCAAACTAATAAATGCCTGGTGTTTTTATTTTCCCTTGCTACCCTCACAATACTATTAGATTAGATTTTTTTCAAACTGCATTAAAAATAAAAATACATCCAACTATCTTTATATATTTACATAGAATAGTAGCTATTGATAGCATTCAATTATAACTTTTCTAATAATATGATCAGAGATTTTTCAGTTTCACATATATATATTATGTATATATTTTTAGATCATAAAAAATTACTCTGTTTATTTGTGCAGCTATAGAACACAAAGTTTCACATACATATGCTCATTGAATCTTATTTGAGAGGAGACTTCAGAATACTTACTATCATAGAAGAAAGCATTAATCTAGGCTTGCATATGAAAATTTGACTTAATTACAAGATTGTAACTTTGTACAACAAAGAAGAGATTGACTCATGTTCAAGGCAGATGTACAGCAGTATACCCTGCTCTTCCACTGAGTGGATCTGGTTAATGGCACTGCACATGTGCTTCTAAGGCAGGGCTTGACTCCAGTTCACTTCACTTTTTCATTAGCATGAACACCTCTGCCCTGTAACCCTTCTTCCTCTAAGAATGTTTGACCCCATCAGTCAAGATCTACGATGTGCAACTGTCAAGGATTTTGAACAAATCAAGTGTTATTTTTTCTTACAACAGCAATAAGTTATTATTCGAAAATGTGTATTTCTAAAGAAGAGTGAAGCAAAGACAGGGGGCATCCAGTATACCCTGTACCACATAGCAACCTGATTCCCTGCAAAGGAAAGATGAAGAATCAAACCAGTGCTGACCCTTTCAGTCTTCTCTAATCAGATGCTATGTCCAACTCTTCATAGGGATCATCAAAAAGCAGTCTTTTTACAATTTCAAAATTAATTTTTTTCACTCAGAGGACACACACACACACACACGAAAACCCCAAGACTGGTAAAATAAGATAGATACTGCGGCCAGGGATTTAGCTCAGTGATCCTGCCTCCTGTCTTGTAGGTGCAGTCCTGAGTTTGATCCGCGGTGCACCCCCCCAAAAAATGTATAGTTATAAGGGAAATGAAAATATAAATATAATAGGGATTGAAAGTCAACCATTTCTAATTATGGAAGAAATAAAGGCCTTGTTATGAAGATGGCATCTGGTGAGGCACTCAAAAACACATTGGATTTCAACCTGCAGACTCATGAGATGGAACATGAGCATGTCCCTTGCCAGCAAAGGGGAGAAGTGGTAATGAGGACAAGGACTTGAAGAGTGTGGACTGTTCAGATGACTGGTATGTCAGTCCAAGCCTTCTTGTCTTGACAGGGCACATGAAGCCCTTCCTGCTGTCATCCCAGCTACCTGTCCAGTCATTGCTGTTTCTTCTTGCCAGCATTGGAGTTTCGACCACTCCTCCAAAATGTCATGTGCTCAAGCAGGTTTCTCCTTGGCATGCACTGCACACATGCTCTGCTATCTTGAAGTGTCTGCAGTGTTGCCTACCCTGCCTCATTTCTCTCCTGAAAATTCTAACATCTTAGATCTAGAGAGCACATAAAAGACCATCTGGGACAATTACCTCCTTTGTTGCTCGTCCTGTCCTAATTTTTATTTTAAGGTTTCTTATTGCCATGAAATCTTCCTCTTATTGCCATGAAATCTCCCTCCCTCCCCTTTCTTATTGCCATGAAATCTCCCTCATCTCCTATAAGGTCTAAAATTACTGACAGGGCTAGTTATATTCAGTGGCCAGAGGCAGCTGCCTTTGCTTCCAAATAAGGCTGCTCCCTGCTTCTGGCCCACCCATAATTTCCGTGAGAGCAATCAAAAGGATCATATGAGACTAACACATGATCCTTCTGATAGGAAACACCTGTTCTAACAAAAGAGTTCCAGTAAAATCTGTTGCAAGTTTGGTTTTGTTACTGGCTAATAGTCAAAAATAATGATTAGAAGATAGCATGGAGCGATTCTTTTCAACTTTCATGTACATGTAAATAACCTTGGAATCAGGTTAACATGCAGATTTTGGTTTAGTGGGTCTGGATTGTCCTCTGAGTCTCTGTATTTCTGTTGAGCTTCCTGGTACTGTCGAAGCACTGAGCTGTGAAACACTTTGAGCAGCAACATTATAGAGAATATTGCAGAATTCAAACATAGCAAAATCACAAACTGTTCTGTTGGGTTGGATAAATAGTTAAGATATTACTGGATATCACAGGCGTGGTGGTACAACCTGTAATCTCAGCATTCTGGGAGACTAAGACAGGCAGATCACAAGTTCTAGCCTAGCCTGGGCAACTAAGCGACTTAGTGAGACCTTGTCTCAAAATTTAAAAACAAAAGTTTTAAAAGGTTGGGAATGTAGCTCCCCCATGTCCAATCATTCATATATATATATATATATATATATATATATATATATTCATTCTTATTCATCAGGCTCTGACTCTTCAAAAACAATGAATAAGAGAGACGTGGTGATATAATTCCTTGTAAAAACTCAAGCACAGAGTTGGGTACCTAGAGTAGAATTTCTGAGCTCAAGAGCACCTTGGCAAACATTCAGAGTGGTCAAAGGAGGAGCCCAAGGAGGACAGACTGAGATAAAATGCGCAGAGTAGGTAGAAGAAGAACCAAGAGTGAAATATGGAAAGTGAAGTAAAAGAAATTTCAAGAATGACCAGGTGATGAGATGAAACAGTGGTCTGGCCTGGGGATGGGAGCTCAGGTATTCAGCCTAGGCAATTTAGCAACTTAGCAAGAGCCTGACTAAAAAAAAAAAAAGTAAAGGCCTAAGCAAGTAGCTAATTGCAAAGGCCTTGAGTTCAATCATATATGCATATGATGTTAACATGTTTGATGACCATTTTTTTTTGCTGTTCAAACACCCTGGTAGGCACATCTACTTACATTATCTCGATCTGTCTCTGAATGGACTATAATGGATATTACTTCCACTTTTATACATAAGATATTTGTGACTCTAGTGGCCTACGTGATAGAAACTCAGGGTGCCTGGGAAGTAAAGTTTGGTGAGGTTTCAAGAGTCATAGGCCATCACTGAGCTGTGTGATCCTCTTCTGTCAAAGTTACTCCATTCCAAGAAAAGAGCAGGGAACATTAATAACACATGTCTGCATTATAATTAAATTTAGATCAGGAAAGGAAAGCAAATCACTTCAGAAATGGATTTGTCCACTTAGGGTTTGGTTTACAGCATTTAGTAGAGTATCAGATTTCACTGATTTTATGTCTTACAAATTCAGTTTGAGGCTGACCGCAGAGCCTTCATTATCACCCTTAACTCCTTTGGGACTGAATTGAGCAAAGAAGACAGGGAGACCCTCTACCCCACCTGTGGCAGGCTCTATCCTGAGGGCTTGCGCTTGTTGACCCAAGCTGAAGACTTTGATCAGATGAAGACAGTAGCGGATCATTATGGAGTAAGTGACCAACACCAGGTCCCTGCATGCCTTGTGCTATCTCATTATGTGTGCTTTAGAAATTCACACCTTAAATTTGCACTTCTTACCAAAAGTAAGTATAATGCTTTAAGGTCGCAAGCAGAACCTCTTGCTATAATTCTCTCTCCCAAAGAAATACAAGTTTCTAGCCCAAGCTGGTTTTCTTAAGGTTCCTGACAAGTAAGTATTGTTAAAATCTCCAAGAAGTGGTCATCTGAGCACTTTTTTGAAGTGTTTGATAAGGCAAGTTCCCAAGAAACAGGGTGCTCTTCTGGAAATATGAGCTCATGTTAAAGTTACATAAAAAGCCTGACCCCATGATTCTTTCCAGTACCCTTTAGGGAAACAGGGCTAGATGCAGAATGTCCATGAGGACTGCAGGGAGAATATGTATATAGGTGTGGACTTTTCTATTCCCTTTGCCAATGAAAGGAAGCAGGAGAGGACAGAAAACTACTTGTATCCTACTCCTACTCTAGCATCCAACAAGATGCTTTGGGTAAGACAGCCCAAAGTCCTCAGCTCTATGTCACACACCTTATCCCAGATTCCAGTCCCTCTGACTTGTAGACACACACACACACACTCACACACACACACTCACACACACACACATATAAATATACTCTCCACGTCACTTTCCCAGGACCAGATTGGCACTTGTCTTTCCCTGTGGATTTCTGAAGCCCTCCAGGAAAGATAAAAATCAGCAAAGGATATAGAAACCTTTGCAATATCTCATCTGCAAGTGCATGAGATTCTTCAGCATAATATTAAAATTTGAGCTTTTTTTCCCCATTCCCACCCCTTCCCACACTTGAAATTCTATGTGGGTTGTATCAGTTGTCAATCTCAAAGAACCCATGAGCCCATACTTATCAAACTGCAAGCATTCATTGAGCCCAAAGAACATGAGAGTGGAAATTAACTCTAGCAGTGCATATGGAGAATAGAACAGCTTTGGACTCTTGCCCCATAGCCCTGAATAAGCCAATAACTTAGAATTTCATCCACACTCTTATTATTTGAATTTTTTGGTATTTTGTCAGGAAACCAAAGATCTTACAACAAAAACTTCAAGCCTTCTGGTATAGATTTTTAAAAACTAAATGCACAATTTCTATATTGCTAGAAAAACATATTTATAAACACTTAAAGAAATGAAAAAAATTAATCTCTTATCTTTACTTTTAAGGTGTACAAACCTGTATTCGAGACTGTAGGTGGCCATGGAGGAAAGACACTGGAAGATGTGTTTTATGAGCATGAGGTATGAGATAACTGGAAATGCTATTAGTTCATATACTTTTCTTTACCATGGGTTTAAAATTTTTTTTTTTTGCTTTGGGTTTCTTTTATAATTGACCAGGCAAATTGATGTTTGTCAATCAACTGTGTTGATAATTCCTTGTGGCTCACATATGATAGCTTTCCATAGAATTGTCCCACCTGTAGACAGATATACACACCATGAAGCAATGGAAGAAATGTAGCTTTTCTGTAATTAATTAATTAGGAAGCAAATCTAGGACTTTCATGCCACCACATACTGACCGCCCTTACTGTTTGGTACAGCTCACTCTGTAACACCTCTCTCCTTCAAGGGGGCTTTATCCAAGACTAAAACACATGGACATAATTATAACCTAGTCATATGACAGTCCACCCAGAGAGCCTAGATTATTCTCTTTCCCTAAAAAAGTCAGAGGAGTACTTAAACCATTTATGATCAGTTCCTGGGCTCTTGTACTGTTTAACAAAAACTCCCCCCACAACAGGTAAGTTCCCCCAAATCTAGAGAATTTTTCTAGTGTATTTCTTTGAAACCATCTCAATCTGATTGAAACTAATGAAGAACCAATCTGCCAGGCATGGTGGCACATGCCTGTAATCCCACCACACAGGAAGCTAAGACAGGAAAATCATGAGTTCAGGGCCAGGCTGGGCAACTTAGTGAAACCCTGTCTCAGAAAACAAACAAAAAAGAACCAAATGTTAGGACTGTAGTAGCTGCAGAAAGCAGTTTGCAAAACCATCTTGCATCTACCCTTTAAACATTTTCCAATGGCTCTCTAATGTCTGTCATAGAAAAAAGTAACAGCAGTCCAAATTATCCAACATATCAGGGATATATTTACCCATGCCACTGCACCACTGCTGCAAAGAAAGCTGCTGCGGAAGCTGGTCACGGCAGGAAGAATGAATACCTATTCCTGAGAACAGAAGCAACCTCCACTTCCTGGTTGCTTTGTTTGAGGTTTTTCAGCGCTGCATTAGACTCAGTACCTCTCCTCCTTTTTTCCACCCTAAATGTCAAAATGGAAAAGAATGAAGGAATCATTCTATTTCCATCTTCATCTTTTTAAAATTTTTTTGAAATTTTCTTTTACTCACTTAACTTTTGTAGAATAAAACAATTCAACTATATGGAATCATATCACTCAATCTAAATTCCAGGAGCCTGTGGCATTGCCTAGGAAGGGAGTTTGACTTAAATGCCTTTTTATAATGTTAAAACTCTGGCCAAGAAGAAATGCTTTGCCCAAATGAGGCAAGCTTACTACCTGGAAACCAGATATATATTACTACAAAGTTGGACACGCATTCAAAATACACCCAGAAATCTTTGTGTTAGCAGTGCTGTTCTGAGTTTGGAAGTTTGTTTTGTGACTCCATAAACTTACTTTTTAAACTGCTGTTGTCTACATTTCTCAGAGTGCTGCTTTCTCTTTAGAACTTGCTGAGTGGTCACTGTTTTCCTGTATTTGGCCCAACTTGGACATTGACTACCTAAATACAAATAAGCACTGCATAAGCAAAAGCCAATCTGTAGCTTAATATTGCTTGACAAATATATCCCTTCCAAATAAGCTGATAGCCCGTGTTATTTTTTCTTTCTTCCTTAGGTACAAATGAATGTCCTGGCATTCAACAGGCAATTCCACTATGGAGTGTTTTATGCGTATGTAAAGCTGAAGGAACAAGAAATGAGAAATATTGTGTGGATAGCAGAATGCATTTCCCAGAGACATCGAACAAAAATCAACAGCTACATCCCAATTTTATAAGCTGATGGGAAAGTCCCAAATGCAGAAAAATCATGAATGTTAAAAGGAAGCTATTAAGGAAAATTAAAGAAATTATACTACATTATCTAGATAACATAAAAGTAAGCCAGGTTGGACCTTTGTAAAATCCATTAAACTAACCCTGAAACCACCCTGAAATGAAGCTTTTCTTCTTTTTTTCTTCAGCAGCCTTAACTCTTGCTTCCATATTTATGTCTCATTACTCACCAGGCCTTACACATTCATTTTAATTAACTATGCAGTACATTTCATTTTTCTCATTTGATCATGATCTAATAAAATAATAATAATAATTAGATTATGATCTAATAAAATCAGATCTAATAAAAGTGTTTTATTCTTGCTTTTCCAGCTTCTCTACAGGCCCAAATATGAAGTGTCTGCTTTAAATTTTAACTGTCTATTCCTACCCTAGCTCCACAAAAATCCATATCTGGACTTAGCCAACATGGACCCCATTTGATGGGAAGGGTTGCATTTATTTTCCAATATGCTTTGATCTGGTGCCTAGAGAACACTATAAAAATCCCTAGATGCGACTAGTGCCACATTGATAATGAACTAGTTACTCAAAAATTTCTTTAAATTAAAAAGAAACACTTTATCTTGCGGTTCCTTTTTATTTTACCTTGGAAATAACCCATTAGTTGGTTTTTTATTCATTCAGAAGCAAAAATCCCAGATGCAGATTGTAGAGTATGCATTCTCCATAAAACCTTGATAGAACCAGTTCATAGAGCTACACAGAAAAAGAAAAATCCACAAAACACAGCTTAAGTTCTTTCTTTAAGTATAAAAAACTGCATTTCTTATCTTTAAAAATCAAATATACTTATTTGAAAATTCTTTCTTCCTTTCCGTCTGTCTTTCTTTCTTTTTTCTTTTCTTTTTGTTGTTGTTGTCATTGTAGTACCACAGACTGAACTCAGGGCCTCACGTTTGCTGCTAAGCCATATTCCCAGGCCTTTTTTATTTTTGTTTTGAGACAAGGTCTTGTTAAATCGCCCAGGCTTGCCTCAAATTTGTAGTCCTCCTGCCTCAGCTTCCCAAGTGTCTAGGATTACAAGTATATATAGCCATCCCCAGGTTAGATATTTGAACATTCTTTAAACGTGAATATGTGCAGAGATTATGCACATACACATATCTAAATTTGGGTGTGTAGACAAGGATTAAAATTTTTATAGAGTCAAATGTTTTAGTAAAATATTTTAGTAATTTTAGTGGTAGAGTTTTTTGAGCTTAAGAAGAAATAGTACTCGCAAACTAGAAAGAAGGCCAAATCCCCAGTCACATCCTCATGCAAGAGTCCTAGCCTGTACCTTAGTTCTAGTACTAGAGGCCAATGTGCTTTAGGGGGCTGCAGAGCAGACCCATCAGCAGGAGTCAAAGCATCCACTGACCAAGTGACCCCTGGGCGAGAGAGAATGCTCCCTGTCTTGCTCAGACCTCTGCTCTTCACACTAGAACTCTGAAGAATAGACACTTATATTTTACATTTTAATCTGTGGTATCTGCAGGACAGGTTGGAACCAAAGACACTGTTAGGAAAGAGGTATGAGAAGAGCATGGAAATGCTGCTTAGACTACCCCTCGGCCTCCCCACTCCTCTGCACAGGGTAGGAAGGCTCCTGAGTATGTCACAGGCTGAAGGCAACAGTTACACTTCTTTTCCCTATATATAAACAGTGAGGAGTCCAGTTCCCCAAACCTTTTCCCCAATACCCAAGAGCCCAACTATTGTGAGACTATAGTGGAACTACCCTAGAATTCCTAGAGGCAAATAGAATGTGCCCAATCACAAATAAAGCACATACACCTTGAAATTTGAAGAATTTTTCTTGAAGTTTCACAGCTTTTAAGGGACTGAGCTGGGATCTTCCTTCTCTGTCATGCCTTGGGGATCTGAATTACAACAGAGAGCATGAATCTTTGAAAAATATTTCATCATACAGGGCCAAAAAGTCAGTTCTACAGAACTCTGGAAACAATGAGGCCAAAATGAATTTCTCATTCTAAGTGATTGACACTGACTTTCTCACCATCCCTCCTTACCTTGGTCCCAACAGTTCAGCAATCTCAAATGTCTACCTGCATTTGGTCTTGGAACGTTATATACCAATGAATTCCATACCCAGAATTCCTTGCAGCCTGTAGCCAATGTGCGCTCTTTCTCTCTCTCTCAATAAAAATCGCTAGGAAATATATGTGACCTTATCAGAGGGTAGAATTCTTAGTGATTTCATCCTTTGTGTCTCACAATAGCTGAGCCCAGGAGTCTTGAGGTCATTTTGGATGACTGCACAGCCATAAAATGTATAAGATTTATATATACACAAAAACCAAAATGTAGAAACTATAATGAGGCCCGAGTCACCTTGCCAAGTAATTTCTCCTCTCTCACATCTTCATTATTCCATTGGGCCTCCCATCAGTTACCTTTCCACCTGCTCATCCTTTCTCTTCAGTCACCTTGCACCTTGTTGTTTCCATTTTTGACTGCTGGCTGAAGGCTTAGGCACTAACAGAGAGCCAGTGTGCCAGAGCACTGCTTAACATGGACTACATGTTTGTGCTTGGGAAGAAGAGAGATAAGTAAAGAAGACGTAAACACAGACCAGTGTGAATGTCAATATATTAGGAGGTAATGGCCCCCCAGAGAATGAGCACTCTAACCATATCCACAAATGCCATTTAAAAGCTAGGATCTTTGACAAAATGCAGAAGTACATCAGTGTCTCTATGGCTTTAGTGGACTTCTGAGATCAGAGAGATTGTGGGCTTGATATGTGACTCTCTGATTGACAATGACAGCAGCACCAGATTCACTTACAGTGAATCTAGCTCATTGGTGGTGAAAGTCATTATTACTTTTTATCTTGAACAGACAGCAATTTTAGATTTTAAATAATTGAAATGTTTCTGTGTATGTTGTAGGTTTTTAAAAATTAAAGCATCTATTTATCTACTCAGCTATTAATGCTGAGATGCATTGTTCCTTGTGTAAAATGCTCATTGTTTTACAATTCTGAGGTTGTTTCAATTTGGGATTCAAAATGATTTTAAGTGTGGAGTGAATATAGTTCAGTTTGCTGGTGCAATGTCCAGAATTTTTTAAACTAAAAGATATTATTTTAAAATAAAAAGGAAGCAGAGTGAAGATTTTAATAATCTTCATGATTAGATTCTTATCAGTTCAATAGTCATCTTCTTCTTCTTCTTCTTCTTCTTCTTCTTCTTCTTCTTCTTCTTCTTCTTCTTCTTCTTCTTCTTCTTCTTCTTCTTTTGGTACCGGGGATGAACTGAGGACCTTGGGCTTTTGACGCAGGTGGTGGCACCACTGAGCTAAATCCCTGGTCCCTATAATGTACTTCTTAACATTTGCAGAGTCATGGAAGGGTGAGTCACTATGAACTCCACATCCCAGTGTCCAGATCACGTAGCTGTACACCAGGATTCACCCTGATAGCGTGAGCACTGTAGCATATGTCAAATAAATCCTTCATAGCCTCAAAAGACTGTTCAGTAGGTGCCTTATAGGAAAGTTCAGCAAGATCCATACATGCAAATAAGTAAACATAAGTTATGGTGTAGGGAATTAACATTTCACAGTTTAGCTATAGAATTTAAAGTGAGTCCTTAAAAGTGACCTTCATTTGGGTTCACATACCCTTCAGGAACCTTATGAGCACAGGGCACATTCTTTCAATAGTATAGACAGCTATACATCCATCCAAACTTTTGCATAATATATGAAAGGAGTATGGACCCTCTAAAACCCATTCATTAGTAACCTAGAAGTCTGGAGACTCCAGGTTAGAAAACTCCATTCAGAGGCTGAGAAATGGAAGAAAATCACAGATTAGAAAGCATTTTACTTTGAAAATAAAAGTAAGTACTCATACACATTTCTGATTACCTAGAAGGATATCCTGTTGAGTTGAGGAAGGAGAGAGCTTCCAGGAGACACTATACCTGCTTAGATGAACAAGAGCTCCTCACCTGCTGCACAGTCAGTCATGTCAATCACACAGAGGGTGGAGAAGCCAAGATCACAAGCAGCTTACTCTCATATTAAATTGAAATCACAATCCAAAGCATCCCTACTCTACATTTTAAAATGATTGATCTTTCCATGTATCACCAGTGCTACTGGTTTTTGCAAGATTAAGTGAGAACTGGGCTGGGAATTTAGCTCAGTGGTTCTGGTACCTGCCTTGCAAGCACAAGTCCTGAGTTCAATACCCAGTACCAAAAAAAAAGATTGAGAACTTTGTGAATTGGTTAAGAAGGTATATGCTTTCCTGACACACATCTCCAGAGTTTAATAATCAAATGAGAAAAATTACTTTAAGGCTTCATCTTCTGTGAATTAGAAGAAAGTTGTGTTCTCATGTTCCCCCATGGCACCTAGAAATGAATCATTTCTATCCTTTTAGCTATCTTTTATTGCTTGAAGCCAAATAAAAGTAAGTCAAGTGGAAGAGTAAAGAGTGACCAGGACAGATGCATAACCTCCCCAGTAAATACTATAAACCCAGGAAGGGCAAGTGGAAATTCACATCAGTATATTCCTCAGAAGGAAGTATGTATCTTTACAATCAGGAAGTAGCCGGTACTGTCTTGCATTTATGAGGCCATTTTCAAGGATGACTGTAGAAAGAGTGATTTCATGTGAATCAAAAACAGCTGGACACATAGCTGGCTCCTTCCCAGCTGCATGGAAGGCATAAACTGACTTACAACAGGCTTCATTTGAAAATACGGAAAGGCAATAGGAAGGAGTCAAGGGATGCCTCCATAAAAAATAAAGCAGAAATCATCAGTCAGTTCAGAGGAAACCTCAACAGAATATGACTTTTTCAAAATTAACTCTAGGTTGGAGCCATGAGAATTTTCTACTTTGAGAGATAACCTAGGAAAAATAAGTAAAAGCACATCTCATTAATGCAAGTGAGAAGCACTTTTTTTCTTTTTTGCTATTTTTAAGTTAACCTAATGCTTTAACTTTTTTGTTTTTCCAATTTCTTTGCATTTGGGGTCTTTGCCTACGTATTTTCCTAGTAGGATGATGTAGCAGACACCTTTGCCCAGTATTAGCAGGCTACAGTGGCACAAGTTTCTTGCCCCTCCATAAT